GCAAACTGATCACTATTAAACTTAAAATCGCAGGTCGTAGGCTCCCAGCTCACAGACCACAGGCACTGCGAACTCAGTTCCGGCGAACACAATCACCGGCGAACACATTCATCGGCGAACACAATCAGGCTTCGGGCTCGGGCTCGGGCTTCAGGCTTTTTATCAGGGCCGGGCTCGGGCCCAAGTTGTAGGCCCATTGGTCGGGCCGGGCTTGGGCTCGGGTCTAACAATTTTTCATTAATGAAGAGTAAAATCCCGGCCCGAGCCCGACCCATGAACAAGTCTAGTTCTAATGAGAGTACAAGCTTATATCAATGTTATGGATCAATCAATAAAGAGGATGCCTGTTGCATCAGTTGTATACGAGGTTTCTGGTGATGCTTTAAATAGATGGGCTTCACCTCTTCACAACTATATCAAAGTAAACTAATGTAGATAGTGCTAATGGGCCGAACTCTGTTGGGGTTGGAATTGTGCTTTGGGAGCCCATTTGTTTTCAAGGGCAATACCCCTACCCTACAAGTGAACATCACTTGAAGCAGAGGCACATGCATTTTTACATGGCCTAGAGTTTGTTGTTTATCTGAATCTTCACCAAGTTATAATTGAAGGTGATGCTTCAAATATAGTTCAACTTTTGTTGGTGGACACAACACAACCGATTAGCGAAAATGGTTTTATTTTGTAATAGACCGTGTACTTGGTCTTTGTGTCCAGAAGCGAACATTCCCATTGTAACTTCTCTAATATTTTGGAACCGAGATAAATGAATTGTTTCTGTTTGGACTTCAAAAAACAGAAGTGGCCTTAACAGAAGTCCACGTCCGTTTTATGAATTAGGCTTATTAGGTCTCTATAATTCACAGACCTTTTAGCTTTGTAACTTGATAATAAATCTCCGGGTAAATTGCTTAAACCTCCCTAAAATTTTTCGTTGATGCTGAAATCTCCTCTGTGATGGGATGAGAGATCCATCATATGGACACCCAAAGATTGCGGAATAAGGGGGCAAATTTCAAAATTTTTCTCTCCCTTCAACTGGGGATCGCATTCCCTATTTAGAAAATCATACTTTCAATGATCATTCTTGAACCATAAACTGAACCAGATCTGAACCAAAAGGAGTAGGAGAGGATTATACCTGATACGGAGAAATAATATCTCCCAACGAAGGTGTTCACGCCCAAGGAAGGATCCAAAGACTGCTCCCACTGAAGATGGCGCAGTGTAGGATGGAGTAGAATCAGTAGTGTTCTTCTCCAAGAACTCTATCCTTCGCAAAAAACAGCAGGATGGCAYGTGAGCACAGCTTCCTATCAATTCTTCCTCAAAGAACTGATGTCAAGATTGAATCTTGACTTCTCCCACAACTGGAGATCAAACTAGCAAACAGGGGCGGCAAGAAAGAATTCTGTAGGGATGCTTAATTCTTCCTTCTTTGATTTCAGCACTAAAGAGGATCTGAATGTGTGTCTTCTCAAGGCTGTCGCCCCTCTCCTTCTTTTGTTAACCTAAAAGATCAGCTCCTAATCCAATTAGGGACTGCTTATCCAAATCATATTTGGATAAGACCTCTCTTTAGGTGATAGGGATAAACCCTTATCTTATCTGCAGATTAGATTAGCTTTCTCCTAATCTCATTAGGAGGTTTCTAGAT